TGGGTGCACAGAGCTGCTTTGTTATTAAAAATCTCCCTTGTTTGGCTCAGTGGATAGAGCGTGGGCCTGCGGACTGAAAGGTCCCAGGTTCGATTCCGGTCAAGGGCATGTACCTTGGTTGCAGGCACATCCCCAGTAGGGGGTGTGCAAGAGGCAGCTGGTCAATGTTTCTCTCTCATCGATGTTTCTAGCTCTCTCTCACTCTCCTTTCCTCTCTGTAAAAAAATCAATTATATATATATATATATATATATATATATATATATATATATATATATATAATCTCCCTTCAGTGTATGTTAAGGCTCAAACTGGAACTCGGTGAATGAGGTGGGCATGAAGTGGCATGGGGCTGACGACAGTCTGGATGTGCTGGGGTGGGTCAGTGGGAGTCCTGCTGACTCTGCCACCGGCCACTGCGTCAGAGCTTGGATACGTGGCTCTGGCCTCTCCTCAAAGGAGGAGTCTGAGCAGTTCTGTCAGTGGTGAACTCTCAGGCCAGAGAGGACATGGTGCATTTTCATGCAGGTCTCTTCCCTTCTTTTATTTCCAGGTGAGTACATTTTGTGCTTCTGAGCACCTCCATGGAGAGATCTTGGCTACCTTTTTTCCTCTCTCAAGTCACCAGTAGTTTACTGACCTGCTAGTTTGTATCCAGCATTAACCCAGAAAGTGTGTTAGTGGAAAGGGGAGTTGATAGTAACCATTTCCTAGATGCCAGGCGCTTCTTTACACGGATTCTCTAATGTCAGCATCACAACAATACCCTATGGGTAGAGATTAGCCCACTTTTTACAGATGGGGAGGCTGAGGAGCAGCCAGATTAAGTGACTTTGCTCAAGGTCGCACAAGTAACCCATTGGCTATCGACTTGTGTCCCTAAGAATAGAACAGGTGACTGGGCATTTGGTTATCTATGGGCTACATCTTTCTTACCCAGGCAGACATCTTCTCTGGATTTTTATTTATTTATGTATTATTATTATTATAATTATTATTTTAGAGAGTAAATAACTCTTTGGATTCTTCCTGCCCTTAGGCTCCAGGTCCTAACAACCTCCCCTGGCTCTGGGATTCTAGGATTCAAGGTTGGGTCATATGTGGGCAATTCTTAAGAAACAGTAGGGGGCAGCATGACCCTAAGAATAAAGCTGTATTTCTCTCCCTTCCCCCCTCCCTCCCCCTCTCCTCCAATCCTCACTGCCAACTCTCTTCCCTGTCCTGGGGCCATTTCTGTTATCCACCCATCCTCCTTCAAAATATTTATTTTATCATAAATGAGAGGGGATGGGGAACCTGATACATTTATGAAGGCCCAAAACAAAAGAGCTCATAATTGGAAATGTTTATTCACTTAATCTGAATAAATGCATTTTGTGTGTGTGTGTGTGTGTGTGTGTAATTTCTTTAGTGGTTTTGCAGTATCAGGTAATGTTTGAGGTGGAAGGAACCTCAGAGTTCATCCGTCAGAACTCCCTCCTTTTACAGTTAAGGAAGCTGGTCTAGGTTAGCTATGCCTCACCTTCTGGAGTCTTCCTTGTCTTGCATTTATTTCTCAGGGAAATAGACATATTAGGTTCCTAAACAGCCGGCCTTTCCTGCCCGACACAGGTTCTACTGGCCAGAGAGAAAGTACAATGGAGATTTCTAGAACTGTTTTTCCGGACTAACCTCAACTTGGGTCCATTTTGTTCCTCCAGGCTGCAGACGGGTAACTGATCCAACAAAGGAAGCCAGCGAGGGCTAAAATGGAATGAGTTTAGGATCCATATGGGAGAAAATTCCAGAGATAAGGAATTACCAAACACCTGAGTAGACAGAAGATTGGGAATGGTAGTGGAATCTCCTTTTCTATCTGTTTGGGGTTCTTTCTTTTTTTTTTTTTTTTTTTTGTAAATGTATTTTTATTGATTTTTTACAGAGAGGAAGAGAGAAGGATAGAGAGCCAGAAACATCCATGAAAGAGAAACATTGATCAGCTGCCTTTTGCACACCCCCCACTTGGGATGTGCCCGCAACCAAGGTACGTGCCCTTGACTGGAATCGAACCTGGGACCTTTCAGTCTGCAGGCCAACGCTCCATCCACTGAGCCAAACCAGTTTCGGCTAATTTGGTTTTTTTTTTTTAAGAGGCAAGGGAATTGATTGGGTGGCCTTTTCAGGTGTGTTCCTGTCCAGGGACTCTGATTGTGTTAGGTAATATAATAAAGGTAAATTCAACCCGAAAGGCTCCCCAAGCCAGTGTTAACGGGAATGAAGCTTTATGAGGGAAACTTCAGTTGAGCTTCTAGTTTCTCATTTCCTCCTCTGCCGTGCAGAAATAAGCAACATGGAGATAGAAGGCAGGCAGCTGGTGTGGCTTTTGTGGAAAGGAATGTGCTACTACAGTAGTGAGGGATGAAAGGGACTCATGACCTTCCAGAGATGGAGAAGGAAGCCGGATAGAACCAGGCAGAAGGTATTCTCGCCAAATTAAATTACGATATACTAGTGACCTGGTGCACATTAAAAAGGGGTTAACTTCAGGAAATAATTTAATATTGCTATTTGCCCTTTCTCTATAATAGAAGTGACAGAGATGAAAGAAAATTAGTAAAATGTATATGAAAACCTTCATCCTGTCAGAGTCTGGGGCACACCCTGGGACCCAGAGTCAAGTCCCTGCCCACCCACATGCACCTCAAAATCATGTGAGACCCAGACCTGGATGCCCCCTCCCCCCATTGGGCTAGATCTAGACCCAGCCAGTCCCACCCTTGTCAAGCCCAGCCAGGGAGGGGGCACAGCCTCAGGTCCCCTGGCTCGGTGCCAGGATGGGGGGCATGGCCTGAGGTCTCCCAGCCCAGACTAGGGTGGAAGGCATGCTTTAGGTCCTTCATCAAGCCCTGCCTGGTGGGGGACACAGCCTGAGGTCCCCTGTCAAGCCCCACCGGGTGGGAGGCATGGCCTGAGGCCCCCCGGCCTGGCACTGGGGCTGGGGTGCAGCCTGAGGTCCTCCAGCCTGACTCGGGTGGGGGGTGGGGTGTAGCCAAGGTCCACTGTCAAGCCCCACAGGGGTGGGGGAGGGTGTAGCCTCTGGTCCCTGCTGATTGCTTGTTAAGGCTTTTTATGAGAACTTGGCCTCAGCTGTGGGTGCAGCCATCTTTGTGACGGAGTGATGGTCAATTAGCATATCCCCTCTTTATTAGAGAGGACTAGCTTTTATTAATGGAGGAAGGGAAGGAAGATTGGTTAAAAAGAAACACAGGTGGGGGAGGTCCCCAGGTTCTTAAAAACACAACAGCCATGGTAACCACAGACAGCTCCTCACTGCTGGGCAAGTCACCACACAGCCACTTCTAAATGGAGGAGAGGGACCCCCAGGGAGAAGCCATTAACAAAGGCAAAAGACATGCAAAACAAACAAAGTCATCATGACCGGGAGAGGAGGCCAGCAGACAGTCTGGCTCTGTTCTCCCACCTCCCGCTGCAGGCCCCTCAGACAATGTAAACAGTTAATTTGTTCACCTGCAGGCTCTGGGCAAACAGAGGCCTGGTCACACCTGAGTGGGTAACTCGATTACCCCTATAATGCCAGCGTGGTAATGTACACAAATTCTATTACACGCAAACCTTGCTTTCGGGCATTTGAAATACCAATCAGGCCAATGTCCACTCCCTCCTTTGCTTCCAATTTATTCTTGGTGTGTTAGAGCTGCACGGGAATGGCGCTAGGGTGCTGGTGAATTAGGACGCTGGAAGAAATTGCTAGAAGATTGTGATCTCACTCAGCAGGGCTCCTGCAGGCCTCGGATACTCCTTTGAAAAGAGGGAGGTCTGAATTTGGTCCTGGGGCAGAGGGAACCACTGAAAGGTGCCGTGGGTCAGCCTTGGTGTTTCCTAAGGAGCTTATGGTGTGTTTAAATTGAGACAAACCTTTAGATAAACAGCAAATAATGGGTTAGTGACACAGTGGGTTTTCAATATTGCTTTATGGAATCCACAGACTCATCGATTAAAGAGCAAATTGTGCCTATTTAAAAAATGTGTTTGTAGATCTTGATTGACGAAGAGAGAGGGAGAGGGAGGAGGAAAGAGAAAGAGAGAGAGAACTTTGTAAAAACAACAAACATTTAAAAATTATTGATTTGAGAGAAACATAGACTGGGGATTAAACCCACAACCTGGGTATGTGCTTCGAATCAAACCCACCACCTTTTGGCGTACAGGATGACTCTCCATCCAGCCACACTAGCCAGGGCAAGAGAAAGAACTTTTTAATAAGTTTTTTTTTTTTTTTTTTCAGGGACCTAGTTCCTTATCCACTTATACAGACTGTGTAGTATTTCATTACAAAGATAATGCTACTGATTCCTCTGTAGCCCATCTGTTCTGACTCTTTTTCACATAGGTGATGGATCTATAATAATCTGTCCTTTTTTTCTCCCCCGATTCTTTCTTGATCAACAATATCATTTGTGAGATGCTTAGCTGGGGCCAGGGGTTAACTCTGTGACTGAGGAAGAGAATGCAGTTAGCTGGCCCTGGTGGGGTTTGAGTCACTCTCTTGGTCTTATCAGCACTTGTTCAAACCAATTGAGCTAGCGGGTTCTGACTCCTCCTTCCATACGTAATTCTATTACCGTCTTGTTTATCTATAAATGAAACAAGGCATCTGATCTAGCCAGAATGTTTTTAAGAGTATTATATGATAATAAATTATGTACATAGTAATGACCTTTTAAATATCACCAGACCCTAGAAAGATCAAATTTTGATTGGCATAGCTTTGGTATGATGTCTACCTTGTTGTATTTTTAAACTTGAAACTTGGTTCCTGGGTCTGAATTTTCAATTAAGATTTTCCCTAAGAATTATAAGTCAATGGGAATTTATGTGTGAGGTGGCCATGTAATACACACAAGTGTATGCATGTGGAATAATTCTGGTCATGGTGACTACATCATCAAGAGGGAAAAAATTAACTTTCGGTCCAAGCCCCGCCCTCTGTGTGTCTTTACCTTGCTCAGAATGCGGATGAGGTCACCCCGCTGGAAGGACAGTTCGTCTGGCTGGTCACCATGGCAATCCCACAAGCCCTGGTAATAGCTGGCATAGTCCGCTGATCAAAGAGAGGAGAAATCAAAGTTAACCAGAGAGCCCACATTTTTGCTGCAAATGGAAACCAGGGTTTTGCCCCTAGGAAACCTAGGATTCAGGGGGGCTGGGATGAGATACAGCTACATACTCCGTGGGAGAGGGAGATCATTAACTAACATTAAATATTTACCAATCACCCTTAGTCGGATGCTGTTCAATAATATGATAAATATATTCATTTATTAACAAAAGGAAACCAGGCAGGTAATTTCTCACTTGGCTTGTATGTAAGTAGCACAAAGAGATTTCCTGCTAGCTAGGCTTTCTTGATCCAGGGCGTCTACACCATCCGTGCTTCCCTTCATTATGCGTTTGAAGGAACGGGGTGAGTCCCTGACTTCCTATTTACAAGAGAGGCTGAGTCAACCAGCATGTGTCTGCATCACAGTCTCACACACTGGCCTCCTCTGTTCCAGAGGAACTCCATCCTGGACACTTCCCACCCAGGTACTCTATGAGGCCATCACCAATAAATACGGAAACAAATAGCTCCGTCTTTAAGTGGAACCAAGGGGGTGTCTCATCCATTACAACTAAATTCTGGGTGGGCTGGCCCCTTTCCAGCATCTCATTTGTAGACCCTGAACATGTCTGCCAAGATTTATCTGCAAGCCCTCAGGGGAACGGAAACCAGAGTGATCTGCATTAAAAATGAAAGCAACTCAAGACGACAAACCAAGCTTTCGAAGCAGCTGGAGAGATTTACTGAGCTTCTCAGCGAGACTAGATGGCAGTGATGCCACAGGACAGCCATCGATTCTTAACAATGAAGAATTTGTATTGATCTCCTTCTACCCGGAAAGGTTAAACACTGGAGTACAAAGTGGGAGAGGATCTGGGGATCTGAATGGCAGGAGAGCCAATACCCACTAGACCAGGGATACTGGGGCGATGCTCCCCAGATGCTGTGTATGAGCGCTTTAAGCAAAGCGCCTACCAAAGATGACATTCCTATCATTGGGAGTCAGGAGTCCTGGGTTTTAATGGAAGTTTAAGTGATTTTGGGGGACCCTCTTTTACCAGTTTCCATCGTTTCCTTCATTTGCCTTGACCCTCCCTTGAGGAGTAATGATGCTAGTCGCTGGGGGTGGGAATAGATGTGGGGCAGGGAGAGGCGGGGGGAGAGACAGAGGCCCTGGCTATGTTTCCTTTTTTTCCTGCTTGTTATTAACTTATGAGTAATTAAAAAAATAAAGGCACAGGGGAACAACATCCCTGTCTCTGGAAAAGAACTTTAGTAGGAAGCTCAAAGCACACAGAAACAGAGGTGGCATGGAGCTATTGAGTTAAGATTCGGATATTACAAACGGAAGTAAAAATGTTCACCATACAGAAACTCAGGCACGTGTCCTTGACACAGAAAATGACTTGTATTATATATGCAGTAGACAATAGAGGGCAGCAAACAAGACAGCTACGCTGGAAATAGTCTGCTACAGTTAGGAAAAGTTTTTGGAAGAAACAATACTTTGGGATACCAATGCTATTGTAAAGGACAAGGTATATATTTCTTGGATATCAGTGCATGAAATCACAGAGAAACAACAGTTCCTGAAAAGTGAGAGCAATTGGAATGGAGTTAATCACCCAGAGAGTTTGGCTAAATTTAGGGATAAAAAGTATACTGACATCAATAGAACACGGTAGAGAAAATGTATAAAAGTAGATTTTTAAAACAATGATATATCCAAATGGTAAGACTGACAACATTATCCTGGCTTTTTCTGGCCTAGCAGATGGTCACTGCAGGGTACTGCTCCCCACAGGCCTGGATGTGGGATAGTGCCTAAGACCATGAGTGCCTTTTGGATATATGTGTTAAAAAAAAAGAAAAAAAGAAGAAGATTTGATATTGAGGATATAAGGCATCTGGGGAGAACACTTATAAAAAGAACTATTCTAAAAGCACAATAGATCAGAGAAAGGAAGAGGAAAATCTCCCAAGGGAAAAAAAAAGGAATAGGAAATGCCTTCAGTTCTTTATAAGGCCAAAAGAAGAGAGAGCTCAGGAATCCAGGAGATAGGTCAGCCTCGTCCGCAAGAACTGCAATAATCAGAACCATGACCAAAAGAAAAAAAAAAAAGCTCTGAAAAATAAGAATGAAAGGCTAAACATGAGGCAGAGGTTAGACTTGCTGATTGGACAGAAGTATTCTGGCACTAAGGAAATCAGGGAGGAGGAACACCTTAACTGGACAAGATTGGACTGACTATTGCCAACTCCCTGTATGACATATGTGTGGTTTGCATTCATGCATAAGTATGTACACAACTTCCCTGCATTCATTCTTCAGCATTTAACAACCATGGGCACAGCACCTACTAAGTGCTAGGGGCCATGCTAGATGCTGGGAACCCCACATTGGCCATATTTTTGGTCCTTGCTCTCAGGCCTACCCTCCAGCTGGGGAGACAGCACTCTGAGATCAGAAATGGTGCAGCATTCTGACCACTTAATTAATTCAAAACACCCTCATCCTCATTTTGAGGACATTATTCCATCTAATTATTTTTCCCTGAGTCTGTCCATTTGGAATGAAAAACAAAAGAATAAAGCTTAATGCCAGTATTTCTCAATACCCCCCCCCCCCCCTTAAAAAAAAAAGTAACTGCACTAGATAAAGCCTGATAATTCAAAAGCAAAGCACTAATATATTCAGCATAAAACAGATAGAGGACCTAGAGCAATAATGACAACACTAATAACTAAAACAGTTATAACAATTAACAACAATTACAATGATGGAGAAGCTAATGTGTATGATCACGGCTTTTAAATTGCTAGCAGAGCTGAGGAATTTTACTAGAGAAAAATAAGGGGGGGGGGGAAGAGCATCTTATTTTCTTTATCTCATGTAAGAGAAGCTAAGCTCCAGTAAACAAAATGTTGTAGAAAAAAAAAGAGCAACAGACCAAGTTAAAAAAAATATTGTTTTTTCCCCCTCTCCCTTTTCTAGGTAGTTACTGCAAAGCATTTGTCATTTCACACCAAGTTCTTTATAGCCAGTGATGGTAAGTTCTCCGGCAATGGAAATGAGCCTCTGTGATGAGGAGAGTTCAAAGGTGAAAGGACCAGGACACCTCTCTGCCTCCAGCCTTCCTTAGGGACAACAGGATGTGACTTCCAGAGTTCATCGGTTACCTTGGGCTTTTGTTTGGGGACATTGGGCAGTTCCAGAACTCAAGCTGTGACCAAGAGAAAGGGGCTCAAGGCAGGTCAGCGCGTGTCTACATTGTCTGGATGAGCAAAAGGACTGTGCCAACAAGGCCTGGCATTGGGTACCACTACATAACGAATTATAGAAAAGAGAAAGAGAACGAGAAGACACTTAAAGCCAGTCTTTGCTAGAGCCTGGGTTGGTAGGACTTGGACAAAGAAGGCCAAAGCAGTGGCCGTTGTAAAGGACTTGAAAAGGCCACTGTGTTCAGTCCATCAAAGTAGTCTCAGTCTGATACCACATTAACTAATTCGGAAGGAAACGCATAAAAAAAATGTGCCAAGCTCATTGACTATGATGTCAGAACAGGAAGAGCAATACCGTTTGCTTAGTTTTGTAGCTCTTTTTTTCTGCTGACATTCTATTTTTAAAAAAATATATTTTATTGATTTTTTTACAGAGAAGAAGGGAGAGGGATAGAGAGTTAGAAACATCGATGAGAGAGAGACATCGATCAGCCACCTCCTGCACACCCCCTACTGGGGATATGCCCGCAACCAAGGTACATGCCCTTGACCGGAATCGAACCCGGGACCTTTCAGTCCCCGACGCTCTGTTCATTGAGCCAAACCGGTTTTGGCAGTTTTGTAGCTCTTTAATCTTTACTTTTGAAGTTATGATCCTTAATGTTATAACTATGATCTTGAAGTGAAAACACACGCAGATCTAGATTCTCATCTCCCGTGCTCCTTTTATTGGGCCAGAATTGTAGCTGGCTGATAATTAACTCATGTTTGGTCTTGGGAAATAAGTTTCAAAAAGTAAATGCTGCAAATACCTCTGTGGCTTCCCTCTGGTTTTTTGTGTGTGTAATAGTTCACCCCATTGGTGGGCACCAAAGTGGCCAGAATGCCTCAGGGATGGAATGCTCATCAGCGACCATTTTCCTTCGCTGCAGAGACTACTAAACATGGGCTCCTTTTTGGCTGAGTTCACCCACAATTTCAGAGTGAAAATAGACTGTTTCAAGATCTCCCCTGGTCAGAGGTTAGATGCATCTAAGGATGATTTGCGTCACAGTCTCTGCTTTTTATTTATTTATTTATTAATTATTATTATTATTATTATTATTATTATTATTATTATTACTAGAGGCCTGGTGCATGAAATTCATGCATGGGTAGGGTCCCTAGGCTAGCCAGGGATCAGGGCTGATTGGGGCCTTCCAGCTGCTGGCCAAAGCCCTCCTTCCCAGGCTGTTGTCTGCTGGCCAGGGCCTTCCTTCATCTGCACTGCCCCCTCGTGGTCAGTGCATGTTATAATGAGAGACTGAACTCCTGGTCTCCTGGTCAAACTCCCAAGGGAAAAATTTGCACAGTAGGCTTTTATATATATAGATTTTTGTTAATCCTCACCCGAGGATATTTTTCCATTGATTTTTAGGGAGAGTGAAAAAGAGAGGGAAAGATTGAGAGAAACAACGATGTGGGAGAAATACATCAATTGGTTGCCTCCTGTACGAGCCCAGACCAGGGCCCAGGCCGGGGAGGAGCCTACAACCGACCGGAATTGAACCCGGGACCCTCTGGTCTGTAGGCCGACCACTTAGCCAAACCGGCTAGGGTTCCATCCCTGATTTTATTTGGCATGGCATACCCAAGCAAACGGCCAGTAGTTTTCATATAAACAGCACAGAAGGAGCTTTATTTTTGGTTACCTGGACATTGCCTTCTCCTGATAGGAAAGGGAGATAAATTCATCACCGAAGACACTTAGTGTTAGCCTGTTAGGCTGATGGGTTAGAATTCAGTGAACATCAGAGGTGTTGAAGAGTCACTCATTAAAATAACCCTGTTACTAACAGTCATGCTGTAAACCAAGCTCTTTATAGATTGGACAATCAATACGACAGGGCTGTGATAGATTTTCTAGGTAACAGAATAAAATAAAAGAAATTACATCTTACGGGGTCATTAACACCCAATAAGGATAAACTGAATTCCTTTTCCCCTCCTCTTCTGATACGATCTCACTGGCTTTAAAAATGTTAGCAATTCCTTTAGGGGAAAGTGCAGCATTGAGTGGGGGGAGGGTCGGAGGGGTGAAAGGAGTATTCCTGGAATGGTAGAGAAAACGGATTTTAAAGGTAACCCTGCTAACCACAGGATCTTTTTTTCTTTTTTTGTTTTTGTTTTTAAAATATATTTTATTGATTTTACATAGAGAGGAATTGAGAGGGAAAGAGAGTTAGAAACGTCGATGAGAGAGAAACATCGACCAGCTGCCTCTTGCACACCCCCTTCTGGGGATGTGCCCGCAACCAAGGTACATGCCCTTGACCAGAGTCGAACCCGGGACCTTTCAGTCCGCAGGCTGACGCTCTATCCACTGAGCCAAACCGGTTTTGGCCACAGTACCTTTTAAGAGAAAAGACTCCCCCCCCCCCCCAAAAAAAAAAAAGGCATGTGTCACCTGAGATGTAGCATGTAAAAACTATATGAGCCAAACGTGTGTAGTTTGTCTGTTACACAGGAATTCACATTGTCATAGAGTTTCCGTGCCTTTTGCAGGCTTCCTGTGGGGCTGCCTCCCCTTCCTCCGGACCTTCATATTTAACTGTTACAACACTAAGCGGTGACATTTGGATGTTACATATGTGTTGCTGCTGCTATAGCTCCTTGGGAGAAAAGGCACTATATAAACTTAATAAATAAATAAGTAAACACCAATAATAAAAATTCCCGCCTCAGATTCTGCAGAGCGCGCGGAAAGTCCTCCCCTGCTGTTGTTTTTTTAAATCACCAACTCACCCATCATTATAACTGGTGGGAAGGATAAACCACAGAAACATATTCAGAGCTCACTGCACGTGAACAGCATCTATTTTGATTAGGCAGGAAGCATGAAGCACAAAAGGGTTTTCTTTTTTAATATAACGCAAAAATCCTACTTGAATTATAGCTACTGAAACAGGAAATACATCCCCCTCACACCCCCCTGTGCTGCCCCCCATCCCCTGCCACCCAGATAGAACCTTATAAAGAGAGGCAGAAGGAGGAAGCGAGATGGAGGAGGAGTCTGAAACGGAATTTTTAGACTTTTGCCAGAAGCCTGCTGCTTCCGGAATGGAGTTTACTATCCAGTTGGCCATGGGAAGCTTCCTGGTCTCCCACCCTCGCCGTCCCCATGAACTGTTTCCTCCCTGCTCCGGGGATGGAAACTAGAGGAGAAAAGGCATCCGTGGGGCCTGGGCTGGTCAGGAAACAGATTTTCGGTGGGAAGTCTGGACGCCAAGTGGAAAACAGTAGGGGGATAGGTTTCAGAATGGACTCAGCCACTTGTGCTTACAGGCATCTTCAAACTATGGCCCCCGGGCCACATGCGGCCTGCAGAGGAGTCTGATCCGGCCCGCCAGGTTTTTTGGGCAGTGAGCGCAGCCGAGGTGTTACAGTAGGAATTAGTAGTTCATATAGTCCGGCCCTCCAGCTCTCTGAGGGACCGTGATCTGGCCCCCACTTTAAAAAGTTTGAGGACCCCTGGGAGGTCCTGACTTGAAGCTACACTAACCCTCCTGCATCAGACTGGCCCCTGTTCTTTCTTTCTCTCCTGCTTTGCACATGACTCTTTCTGTCTCTTCTCCCCCCTTGGGAGAAGCTGGGTATTTATGAAGTTGGGTCCTCCACCAAACCTGTGACATGTTCGCTTTCTGTGGGGAATGAACCAAAAAAAGGGGTTTTGTTGAATGGATAACGAAAAGAGAAGAAAAGGCGCAAGGAAAGGCATAGAGAAGAGAAAGAGGGGGGAAAAATTGGAACAGAGAATTGGAGAGGGAGCAGGGAAGGGAAGAGGAAAAGAATTCCTAGGCTGAAGACTCATAGAATCTCTAAGAAAAAAAAAAAAAAAAAAAATCAGCCACCGTTGAGGCTCTGCTGGTGGAATGAAATGTCCTTGCAGCACACATCCCTTCGCTGACGATGACAGAAGAGGTCCTCCGTCCACTTAAGGCGGCTTCCGAGGGGCACCTGACCTTCGGAAGGATGGACTCACTAACAGCCTGAAGCACGGTTAACAGCCCGAGATGAAGAAGATGCGATTTTGTATTCAACAAACCTATTACATATTCATTTCCCAATGTGCCTGGAATCTAACTGGGCCATCAGGAGTCAGCATCACCGAGCAATCCTATCCTTCAGCCCCCGCTCACTCCTCAGGCCTGACACATTCCCATTCCCCTCTGAACCTGCAATCTCCGGGCTCTCAGAGAGGGAACATTTCCATTCTTTCTATTCTCAATCCTCTGATTTCTTCCAGATGAGGCAATTCTATTTCCCCTGGACTGACTTCAGAAATACTGATAGGAAAAAAAGTAAATATCTGACTTGGCTTCCTCCTTCTCTAGGATAAATCCTGTCCTGGGAACATTAATTAAAACGAGTGGGGTGGCGGCTTTTAGAGTAAGGTATTTCCTCTCCAGTCATCTTAGTTGGGCCATTTGAGGTCGACACCCCAGAACCTTCTTAATGAGTGAGTCCTGGAATATCAGGACGGTGCTCCCTCCGGCCGGGAGCCCCAGTGTCCTCCGACCCAGGCCTATACATGTGCGAAGCTCTCATACCTCTTTTTTGTCCAGTGCCACTCTCCTCCTCTTCTAGATCGAGCTCGTCATCTGAGGGGAGACACAGCGTCAGCATTAGCAGTGAATGGTCCATAGTCTTGGGCTTTTTATACCTCCTAACTCTCTTCCTAAGGGAATAATTGCCATGTTCTTTCTTTTCTTTTTTCCTCTTTTTTTCTTTTTTTATCCCCTCTTATCTTCAAATAGGCCCTCTCCTTCTCTCCTCCCTGTTCATTCATTCACAAACATTTTAAAGTGCTTACGATGTGCAAGGCACTGCACTAGGAACTGGACAAGCCCGGCAGGCCCTGCCCTCGGGAGCTTGCCATCCATTGGATTATCTAGTGGATCCTGGTCCTTTTCCCAAAATCCCGGTCCTTTTCCTAAATCCCGGTCCTTTTCCTAAAATCCCATTTCTTCTCCCCTTCTGGAATTCTCTTCAAAATGTAGTATCTCCATGTGAATGTCTAGACTTAGTGTGTGTGTGTGTGTGTGTGTGTGTGTGTGAAAGCGTGTGAAGCTGAGCACGTGTTTAAAACCTCCTTCATGTTAATAATTAGTCCTTCATGTATCAGGCTTCGTTCAGCTGTAACAAAAGCTGGCCGTGTACATACAGTTATGTTCCTAGTGTTATCTTTTTTTATTCAGCCTGCCTTGTTCACTAGAGTGTACGTTCCTGAGGGCAGCTGGAAAGGTCTTCTAGTGAACTGCTGCAGGTACCCAACGGGTTCTAAGTCAGCACTACTGTCTAAGTCCAGTCAAGTGTTTCTGTGGTCAAAGTCACAACATGATCGGCCTGTATTTCTTACCCTCATTAACCTGTTTCATCTCAGACTTCATACTCCCTGATCACATTGGGCCTTTTTATTTATTTATTTTTATTTATTTTTATTTTATTTTATTTTTTTAAAATATATTTTATTGATTTTTTACAGAGAGGAAGGGAGAGAGATAGAGAGCCAGAAATGTCGATGAGAGAGAAACATCAACCAGCTGCCTCCCGCACACCCCCCATCGGGGATGTGCCCGCAACCAATGTACATGCCCTTGACCGGAATCGAACCTGGGACCTTTCAGTCCGCAGACCGACGCTCTACCACTGAGCCAAACCGGCTTCGGCACATTGGGCCTTTTTAAAGAAAGCATGAGTCCTTACACTCACATACACACACACACACACACACACACACACACACTCTCATACACACACATTCACACACACACACACTCACACACACATATACACACACACACACACACACACACACTCTGAATGGGGCATAGTAAGTAGCATTTTGAGGGCTGAACACTTAAGTTTCTTCTGTCTACACTTCCTTTCCTTTCTCCTCCTGGGTCTTAGGGCACTTACCTCTCTCGCTTCCCCATAATTATGCCATTGAATGGAACTTTTTGAGGAGATGGCTTTTTAAAAATATAAGGTTCATATAGGGCAATATGAATTCTGACATGCCAGACTGGGGGAAATAAACTCTAAGCTCATAAGTAAGAAGAAACAGCATAAACATATTTTAGACCATTAAAGAAATAGTTGATCTCACATACAGAATGATAGAATTTCCTGGCAAAAATAAAAAAAAGGAAGGGATTGATACTCTGGAGAAATAAGTCACCAGTTATTAAGGCAAAAAAAATAGTATGTGTGTGTGTATATATATATATATATATATATATATATATATATATATATATATATATATTTACCCTACAAGATACTTTGACTCCATTCTCCTTATCTGCATGTATGACTGAGCAGCAGAGAATTTCCTAGTGCCACCTGTGGTGCTCCCCGCTCCGCGCCATTAGGAATAAAGATGTGAGATATCGGAAGAGTGAAATCAAATATCATAAACAGATCGTGACAGAATAAGTCTCGTCAAGCATCATTCTTTGCACACCGTCTTACTTCTTGCCCACGTCCTTTCTTCTCTGCTAGGATGCTCTTCCTCTTGGACATGGGACTAATCTCACAGGACTGAAAACGACGCTTAGCAGAGGAGCTGGCACGCCCTCGGTGTTAGAGATACGCAATAATTGGGATAGAGAACAGCTCTTTTGCTGCTCTCAGGCAACTCAGTCATGAAGCTCAATAATCTGCTGTGCTGAGACGCTTTTGCAGTGGAGAGCGTTTCCACTACCTCTGCTCTCTGCGCGCAGATGTCTCTTCCTCCCAATTCTAATCAATGTAAATTGGGTCAGGTCTCCGCTGTGAATTACAAATTGGATCCGAAGTTGGAGGGTCACCGTGCCTGCTCCTCCACCTCCTTCCCACCACCATTAGATGGGAAGCTGCACCGAAGATCTTTTCTAAATAAATCAGACTTTATTGTAAAACGCGGCCACTGACGAGACATAACCTCATTAGCATTGATTTTAAAATAAATTATTGAAAGTGGCTTGCCTGCTCTTTGCATTTGTAAAAGAGGAGAATGTAAATGTATTTTGCAATGATAAAAATGAAAACTAAGATGTGATTCCTCCTTTATCCTTTCAGGCAACGGCACTTAATCTAGTCATGAAACAAGAACGGGAAGAATAAAAATCTGTTCTGCGCGGTTCACTCCCAGACCGAATATTCTGATTCCCATTGTGCCCGTGGCGTCACGGAGAAGGAAAGCAGGATGCTGGCCGTAATCTCACAGCGCTATGCTCTGCAGGGATGGGTGTGAACATGGAAGCTCCCGTCCCCACATCTGTCCTACCTAACGCTGTCCTTCCCAGCTGGCTGAAAGTGGACCAAGCCAAGAAGCCCAGCCGTTGATGTGAGAAGCTGGGTGCTGTGTCTCTGGCTTTTTAAGCGAGTTTGGGGTCCCATCCCCCGGAGAAGGAACGTGCCCTCCACAGCTGGTAGTGAAGGTCACCCCTTCTAGCACCTTCCCAGCTTCAGAGGGAACCATATAAACCGAGGGGCCTACATTTCATCTCACATCCTTCAACAAAATCAAATTTCGAGCTCCAAAACCAAGAAAACCGATTCTATGGCAGCAGGATCACGTGCCCACAGAGGAGGGTGGGGTTAAACAGCCCAATGTCTCATTTTTATTCACCTGTAAGGTGAGGTTTTCATTTAAAAGATATTATTAAAAACATTTTTTTTAGGCTAAAGAGCTTATTGTGCTTCTTTAGAAGAAGACTATTGGGCATGTTAGCATGACATCTACGGAAATACCTCTTCATTTAAGAGAGGATTAAAATGTATGCGCTAGCTCAACTTGCAACAGTGGTAGATTATACTGGTCCTTGCTCTTAACGGGGCATAGGGGACCCCAGTGTGACAGAGGTTTCAAACAAATGAACCTCCAAAGATTACCGTCCACTTATAACATCAAATGCTCTGCTTGATCCCCAAATATCTCATCTCAACTGGGAAAAGAGTTGAGGAAGGTTCTGTTAACTGTGTGAGCGGGTACGAGGACCACGGGGCACCGCAAATGAGCACCAGCATCCGGGGAGTTGGTTTCCATCAGCGCTCTTGGCACAAAGTCAGGGGCGCTAATGAGAGGCTGAGGGGAGCAGGACGCGGAGCCGCTGGGGAGGCGCAGAGAGGAGAGAGGAGCCAGCTTCCCTGGACACCCGGCTCCTTTCGGAAGTGCTGCCGAGGGGAAAAAACATTCAAAAAACGACCAGCTCAGAAAGAGGGAGGCCGTTTCCCCCCACACAGAGCCGAGTGGCAGACGCTTAAAACACGCCAAACACTATCAAGGAGCATCCAGAGGTCCAGGTGCTCCGGTGACAGATGCAACAGACACGCAGCCAGACTCGAAGCGCAAAGCGAACACGCAGAAGAGCAGAGACGAGAGCCGCTCCTCCGCACGCACATCCGTGTTAGAAATCCGAGGAGGCCACTGCGCCTGTTAGACAACGCGGGAAATGCGAGCGAGGCGCGAATCCCCCGTTTCATTCTCTGGTGTGTGTTTGGCCATCGCAACGGGTTACCTTACTAAGGTGTCTGCATCCCGTCTCTGTGTTACGGTCTTGATGGACACGATATGAAACTCGATTTTCTGCTAACTGCAATACCTGGAATGCTTTGAACTCAATTTCAACACGTAAAAACTGAGCACCTACTAATTGGGGGAAGAGAGACGGGAATACAGATCCCCAGGGTGCGGGCTAAAACAGAACTCCATTCCAGCTGGGCCGCCGAGGAGACACAGTGGAGCCCGCTGTGCAGGACTCCATCAGCGGAGATCCAAGGGGGGTTAGTCTGGCGAGAAGCAATCAGCACGATTCTGGTTTGGGTGCTGGCCAATCAGCACTGTGTGGCCAGGACCCTGTGCGCTTGGGAGTGACAGGGAAGAGGCCAGGGAGCTCAGGGGGAGCTTGATGCTGGTGCTGACTCTTCTTGGATGTCTCCCCTCCCCCCCCTCCCCCCCCCCCCCCCCGCCCCTCCATCCAGTGCTGCTTTGCTATGAAACTGGAATTCACTTTCTTCCTAATTTTTGTATTTTTGGTGGCCTGCCTCTTTCTTTCGTTAGACCTCCCAGGATCATGGTTTCTCCCCTTCCTGTGGGTTTGGACAGCTGTACAGGGGGAAACATAATTCCACAGAATGCTTGTTTCCATTAGAGTCAAATTAAAAAAACAAAAAAACAAAACCCACCCAAACCCAGTGCTATGCTTTATTCTAACGCAATCCGGTTTCCGAGTCTGTAATAACCCTCCGGGGCGGTGCAGGCGGCACTGGAATGCACACAGACATTCCCAGGGAAGGCTCTTTGTCTCCCTCTCTGTTTGCTCCCCTGAAACCTCTCCAGAGAACACGGCCGGATTCTGTTGCCACCGCAGCTGCGGCAAGGCCCTCGTTATAGCTCTTCCGCGGTCTCGGCGCCTTGCTGGATTCTGGCATCGAGGCCCCAGACAGAGAGAAACCTGATAAAAGCTGTCCTTTTATGGAATCTCAAATCAGGAAACTGGGCCTGTGCTAGCCTGAAAAATAATTTCAGGGAGGGGTGAGAGAGGGCTCGGGAAAAACCAGCCATTTCCCACATATTGCTTTAGCATTTCTTTGTGGCAGTTCCCTGCAGTTTAATCGACTGCAAATGAGATCTTAAAAATCAAGGGCCCCCATATGCTCAACATGGATGTTCAGAAATCCCGCCGGATACCAACCTGGAAGCCATACGATCCAGGAGGAGCGTTTCTGTGGGGTTGGCTGCAAACCTCAAGTGCTCTGGTTTTCTCTTGTGGGAAGGAGGTAGCGTACCACGTGGCAAACGCTACTCATCCCCCGATGAATGTGATGGAGAGCACGTCCCCGGAGGACCCATTTGCTATTTTGATTAGGAATACGTATTTTTTTTGTATCGGCTTGGTATAGGTCACAGGCGCTTTTCTTTCTCCCTGGAAAACCAGCCACGGAGGGAGAATCTCACTTCCAAGGCCTCCCACATGGAGACCGGGAGGCTTGTGGGAGGCCCCATCCCAAAGAGGCAGGAGACAGCGCCATCAATGCCAAAGCGTCTCCACAAAGCTCACTGACTTATTACAATGAAACGAACGTGAGCTGTCCAAGCCACTGACTCTGGATGGTGTGCGACGTTAGCATGACCCAGCGTTACCGTCGCTGTCCCTCCACCCAGCCCCCGTCCTCGCAGTAAAGCCGGGCCTGAGCGGAAGGTGTGCGCCACATTCCACCTGCTGAGGGTTTTCCCTTTCACCTGCTTCCTACCCAGCGCTGGAAATGTCCGACGGGGACTGGCTCAGGTCTGGTTGGTGGCGGTGGGGCACTAGCCACCCTCCAACTCTTCAAGGAAGAAACGCTTCCTGTTGACTAGTAACCACCGCCAGATTCACAATACGCAGCTTTTACTGAGTGCTCGCTGTATGCCAGGGCCCTGCTCTCAGGGTTGTCCTGTGCACGCATTGGTTCTAGACTTCTCATATCATCCTTCTTTGACGGCTACTATTGCCATCCCTGTTCCACATGTGGGAAGGTCACCCAGGGAAAGGGCAAAGCGCTTGCTGAAGGCCTCACAGCTGGCAGGTGGCAGAGCAGGTCCAACCTGACTTAGAGCCAGTACTTTGGTCTGAGATTCCATGCTGCCTCTCTCATGCTGCTGCTTGGTAGGTGGTCTTGGAGATGCCGGCAGAGGGGAGACCATGTGAGGCCCCTCACATCCCCTCTTCAGTTCCTCTAGGACTGCAAAACGAATAACAATTTCAGAAGCAACAATCTGAGTGGGGTAGATGGGAGACTTACGGCGGAAATATTCCTATTATAGTTAAACTAGAGGCCCGATGCATGAGGATTTGTGCAAGAATGGGCCTTCCTCCCCCTGGCTGCTGCCACCGCCTTCACTCTGGCTGGAGCGGCCTTTTGCTCCAGCCCAGAGCTACCTTCCCACCTTCCCACGCTGCCCAGAGACAGTGCAGTGCCCGTCTACCTTCCATCTTTGCTGGGTTAATTTGCATACTCACTCCTGATTGGCTGGTGGGTGTCGGGAAGGTACGGTCAACTTGCATCTTATTCTTTTATTAGTGTACCATATTTTCTTGTGTATAAGACGACTTTTGAAATGAAAGAAAGTCAACCGAAAATCGGGGGCAAAAGACCAAAATTGCACAAAAATTACCTGCAGATCTTGACGGCAAAGTAAGTCTTTTCTTTGAAGTGGGGGGTAGTCTTATACAGCGAATATAGGCCTAAACCTATGTTTTAACTGTAAAATTAGAGGGTCGTCTTATACGCCGGAAAATACGGGTAGATGCCAAAATATTTTCAGCTCTAATGCTATCTCTGAAAATGGTGATGGATAGAAAGAGGCTTTTGGGAAAGAACCTGTTTGTTGCATACAGCGCTGTCCTTCGGAAACGTATAAACAAGTTTGTAGGGAGCAGCTAGGGTAAGCCTCGGGCTGACCTCTGCCAGGGCCATAAACAAGTCCCAGCCTGGAGGGCAGAGCTCTCTTAGCATAATTAAACCTGACCTTGTAGCCCACCCTAATTCCTTCCTAAGTAGCTAATGGTCTGTGGGAGGTGCAGCAAGTGTTGCCAAAACAAGAACCTTCGTACACATGTTAATCTACCCTTGTCTTAATCAGACTATACAATAAAGCACAGGCTTGCAGGCTGGGTCTTCTGTGTCCTCATCCAGGCCTGGGAGATCCGCAGAGCCCCAGCTGGATTCTCTCTGTCTGTCTCCTTTAGTCTGCCACCGCCCCTCCTCAGGCTCACCCTGGGCCATGCTGGCGTGTTCCTCACCCACAGAAAGAGACCCTGGCTCTCCTACAGTGCAGCTGCCCTCGCTCCCGAGGGACAGACAGTTGTGAGCAGAGGGGAAGTGACTTTTCTTGAGCAAGCAGACCAGGCTCCATGCCCTTGGAGTCCATGCCAACATCCAGACTGGTGCAATTTTGGGGGGAAGGCCCTGATAGTGTGGGCAGTGCCATACTGGCGAAGAGTAGGCATTTCAAAGGCAGGGGAAGGATGATGATTAAGAAGTCAATCATGCATTCATGGACCCACCTGGGGTAATGTGATGATCCAAAACTCATCTTATTTTCTGAGGTTTCTGTCCCTTAACTCTTCTTGGCTCCCCCACTCTGAACATCAGCCCCCTCCTCCCTGGCTCCTTTGAGAGCCAAACGGGGTGCGTGAAAAGGCCCTCCTCCGCTCCCCGAAGGCTGAGTGACTCAGGGAGTTTTCCCAGAGCAGTCTTCCATCGCTGTCACCCGGATATTTCCCCGAGCCCGGGCGGGAGTGAGTGGGAAATGAGCTCACGAGGAAGACGCTGGCCAAGTTGGGGAGTACATCTCCTTTTAGGGAGCGCTGTGAATTAGATCCATCTCTGCACCCTGCTGTTGCGATGGAGCAGACTGTGAAAGGGAAGATTCTCAGAGGAGCTGTGTTTTAATGTAGCAATTTGATTCAATTTTCCACTCTATAAAATTACCCATCACTGCTCGTTGCTTTCTAACAGACACCTTCACTCTTAATTTAACAATCCTATCGAATTCTGCCAGGGAAATTGGAAAAATTTATCACCTGTGAAATTTTATTTTCCTTTGGTTGTATCTGTTTTTGTAAAACTTCATTAACGACGATGACTTGCTGAGGAAATTATCATTTTTTTTTTTTTTAACTTCAGACACAAGAAATGGCTCGACCTCCACCAAGATATCATTTGCATAATAAAACACAACACAAGGGCTGGGGAAGCTGGGACCGGCAGAGGCTGGAAGTGCTAGGAGAAGAAGGGAGACTTGGCTTGGTGGCTGGCGGATGGGTGGATGGGTGGGTGGGTGAGGTCCCAGCAAGGAAAAAATCTGTGGCCACAGCCCTGGTCCTTGACTCAGGAAGCAATGACGTGGCTTCTCCCCCAGGGGAGAGACAAATGCAGCATCGACAGGGTTAGACCCTCTTCTTAGGAAGCTCCGAAACACAAGCTGCTTACTCGATGCTTTTTAGCAACCAGCCCTGTCTTCAGGGGATCCAGACTCACCTTATTTCCCAAGTTTATCTGGGATTGGAGTTTAAATTGTTATAAATTTAGGCTTAACTTGAAATTCTCAGCAGAGCCTGGCAAATTTCCACAGGAGCCATCTTTCTGAATGGACTTGAAGATTTAGCATTCCTGCAGCCTAACTACCTCACAATTAAAAGGCTCAGGCTCCGGTTTTCTACAGTCTGACCCCCACTGTGCTCCGCACTGTTCAACAGCTGCCGTTATCCCCACAAGAAGGGGCTCTGCAGACGCAGTGATGACTGTACGTTTTCTGAGATGCCAGTTATGGCGCCTTTGGCAAGGAGGAAATATGTGCAGAGGACCTGCTGTAATGGTGGGCAGGGGGAACACATTAGGGTTATTTGTGAGAGGCACAGTTGGACTCCCGCTATATCTGCACTAAGTAACAAGGAGCTGTGCTCCATCAGGGCTTTCCTGGGTTACAGAAGAGGTTTGTCAGCATTTATCTATAGGCCTTCAGACTTCTATTCTATCCATCACTTGGAGGTAACTTTCCATTATCCTCACAGTTCTCACAGCAAAGAAGTTGAAACAAGAGAGTTTTGATGATCCACCCCCAAATTCACAGGGAACCAATGAAACCCAACATAAATACTCTTAACTCTTTTGCTTTGTTGACATAGGTAATGCATTCCTGCATGTGGTTCAGATGAAAGACCCTCCCTGGTCAATTCATCTTGCTACCAGAGCAAGGGAGAGCTTCTAATCACGGGAGCTTCCCTACATGCTCTCCTTTAGAGATTTGGCTTCATCTGGAGTTTCCAGAGTTACATTCTTCTACCAGGTTGAGAGTTTCTGAAGCTCGAGGAAGATAACTAGAAGATGACATTTCTCACCTGGTAAGACTTCGTAAATATCTTCTTCTTCTTTCTCCTCTGAGGGCTGTTTTAGTCCTAGACTCCCAGGCAAGATGATGGGTCTGCGCTGGGAACCAGAATTTTGGGAGTCAAGGCCATCGATGTCATCATACATCTCCCCATCTTCCTCCTCTTCCTCTTCCTCCTCTTCACATGGAATGGTTAAGGAACTCAGATCTGCCAAAGTAAAGATGAGAATGAATCAAGATAGGGAGAAAAGGAAAAGAATAAGGCAGGGGAGGAAAGAGGGAGGAGGAGAAGGAGGGTTGAGAATAAAACATGTCAAAAGAAAATGAAACGCCAGGTTAAGTGCTATTATTTCTAATGTGGGCCTTGGTGGCAGGAAATCTACAGAAAAGGCCAGACTAGCACTGCGTCAGGTTTAAACCATCAACATAAATCCTCCCTTGCAATAAAACTTGATCAGGACGAAGCGGCCCTGGGAAGTATGGGTGTGCGAAGGAGCGCGCGAGATAAAGGGAAGAAAATAGGCCAGGAGAGGAGATGCCCGCACGTCCCCGCACTGCTCCTCAAGGAGAAAACCGGAAGTGTGAGTGATGGCCTGTGGACCACCAGGGCCCACGGCGCTGTGGGAACCATGGCGGCGTCCGTAGGGCATCTGAGCTGTCAGAAGCTCATCTCTCCCAAGATCTCCTTGCAGAACGTCAGACAAGTTTACTAACAGAGGGGCACAAGAGGAAGAGGAAGGGAAAGCGGGATATGGAAAAAATATAACAGCAACACAAGACGGAGTGGAATGGCTTAGTGAGTGGTTACCATGTCCGTTTGCAACAGTACAGCCTGGCTGACCTTAAAGTGGGTCACCGCATAGAAGATGGTGAGCCATTACAGCACTGGGGAGCCCAGGGCAGTGGCGGGAGATTGGCTTTTTATTTTAATAGGGAACTGGGAAGGTTCGTTCTCCGATGTGCAGTACAGAGTGCTCTGTGAAACCCTGCTGAGGGACCTCTGCAGGATGGGCGAGTGCAGGCGGGGTACTCTAGGGAAGGGAAGGATGGAGAGACATCCGATGTTCATTTCAAAACACAATAACACTGTTTGGCTTGGGTAGGCTTTTAATAAAGATTCTGAAACGATTTCCCTCTGAATTCTGGTGCCACCTCACATGAGGAAAGGGATCGAAGATGCATTTGTGGCTTAAACCATATGTTATTATTTTGTTTGTTTTTAAAATAAAATGGAATGAATAATTTCTTCAATGTGGAATTCTGAAAGTACCACAGGGTACAGCTCAATAAAGCCGCTTTGAGTTTTATTGAGGTTTCCACACTTAGGGGTATATTACATGCATAAATCTAAGGCACCTAGATGAGAGTGTACCCTGTAGTCTCGCCATCAATGCTCATGTTTGCCTGGTTCCAGTCTATTATACGTGATGCTCTTGGTAGAGGCAATGGTTTGTTTTTGTGATAGAAAAAGCATAAACTGAGTAAAATAGGCAATTCTCGTAATTAAAGCTCTGGTGCTTCCTTCTTTTTATAAAATCTTATAGCAGATTAAAAAAAAAACCCACAGAGATGAAAGGCCTGATGCTTTTAGGTTGACGTACTTCTCCCTAGGTGGTGGGCCACATGCGAAGTTGATGTTTTTGTCTTTCTGTGGAGTTGGGGTCCTGCCATGAGGTACGCCATTATGAGGGTCATCTGAAGGTTGGCTACTTCTACCTGCCAGGCCACTCCCAGACAAGGCTTCCCAGGCCACGGTCATTGCTGTGCCTGCAGGCTGACCAGCACAGGGTACTCTAAGAGCAGCCATTTAACATCTCCAGGCAGGACTCTTCCAATCATAAAGCAAGGAGCATTTCACTGTGGGTTGGAAGTAACAATTTGTTTTGAATGTCCAATGTTGTTGAAGGCCACCTAGTTGAGTGTAGGTTTTTTACTTCCTCCTAAGACCAAAACAAGAGGGTTTGGGATCAAATTGCATCTAGATGACTTAAGTTTGATATCATGAACTATGAAATTGAGCTGAGCTGGTGATCAAAATCTCCTTTCCTAGTGATTATGAATATGACACACTTGTCTATAGGTAGGTGGATGAGCTAGAAAGATCTCAGCAGTCCTCTCCAGGTTTCTTTTATTTTCTCATTTATGTAGGGCTCCATTTGTTATTATAATGTGAAGGATGTGGTAGGGAGGGTAAAAAGGGGGAACAGGTAGAAAGAAACACACATTGAAGCCTGTGGATTATATTTGTGCCATAGAACTCCAACTGCAAAACCCACTCAAGTATTGTTTCTATAATAATGATACTTACCCTTTAGCAAGAAACTTATTTGATCCACCCAGTCTCTGGCTTCAGCAGGATTAGTAGCTGTAAACTAGAGAAAAATTAGTGAGTTAATTTATCACCTTCACTAAAATTTCCACGATTTTCTGCCTTCTTAATATTTTGAAAAAAGACCAAAATACTCAAAGTGATTTTTTTTCCCTTTAGCAATTTTGTATAGCCAATGTTGATAGCTATTTGAGTCCAGAATTCATGTCCGTGTGCATTCATATGATTACCTATTCATTCATCAGACATTTATTTGATAAAAGTTTATAGGAAAAAAAAAAAAGCAACCCAAAATTCCTGACTTCAAAGAATAATGCATCAGTTATGGAGACAACATACGCCCTTGAAATGGAAACATTACGAAGTCGGAGCATTTGGGAACAGCTGGATGTTGAGAGAAGTCAGGGTAAGCAGAGAAGCTTGTGGAAGCAATACTGTTCCTGCTTGGATTTTAGAAGGAGTTGTTGAAAACTGGTGGAAGGAGTTGGACAGTTTAGGAAAGGAAAACCATGTGCAAAAGATTAAGAATGACACCATCTGGTATGGGGAAGCTAGGCAGATAAACTTGACTGGAGAACAATCAAGGATGAAGCTAAAGGGTTGAGGGTCAGAGAAGAGGGGATGAAACAAGGAGTGCAGACTTATAATGTAGGCAAGAGAAAGCCACTGTAAATTCTAACAAAAGAAATGGGAGATTCACTAGTTGTGTATAGAAGGGGTTGAAATAGGGAGAAACTGGAGATGGAAGACCAACTAGAAGGCTGTTTAACTAATCCTCTGGGTGAAGGGATAAGGACTTAACTCTTGTGATGGCTGTGGGAATAAATAAGAAGGGAAAGATCCAAAGGGTATTGTAGACGAAGAATCCACAGACCATGATAATGACTTGGATTCAATGGGCCAAAGAAAAGAAGAAGTAAACAAACCCTGCATTCTGATTCACAAAACAGGCCAGTGAGGCATCAGCCCTCAGTAATTTTTTTATTTTTTAAATGAATCAATTCAAAATGAATGTTCCTGAAAACATTTTTATTATCTGGCCATTAGGCGAAGACAAAGATATGTGCTGTATACGAAACCTACATTCCTGCTTAATACTTATTAATAGATATTGTCATTCTGGGTTTCTTAAAAACACATTTGTATAAAAAATGTCCAGGGAAACGGATTTAGATTTGTCATATAAGTTTTTATCTGGGTAAGGCATCATCAGAGCCGAATAACAAACATAACTTTTATAAACATACCCAGTGCATCCATCTGTGTTATATATATCTACAAATGATTCTATAGAAAAGTTTAAATTAAAAATATTTGAAATCGTATAATGAAGACCTAAGTCATTTGACAAAATAAGGGTTAAGATACTGTTGAAACATGAAAGGATGAATGTTGACAAAAACTTGGAGTCAAAGGGTTACATAAGTGGTTAATATTAACCTTAGCATGGTTTTTCTCATTCTCACAAGTTAGCTAAAGGTTTTCTAAATTGTTGTCATAAAATTGTGGTAAGATAAAAATGACCAGTAAGCAGGAAACATCATGTATATACATACGCACAAATATATTTTTTGTTGAAAATCACTATGTTCTCAGGGTCAGACATTTTTTATTGCTTTAAAAATTTTGTAATAGGTTATAAATACATTACATATTATATCATGCATGATACCAAAATACATTAAAAATGAATATCGTGAGGAATAAATCTTTCTTACCTCCTCCCCTCCACCCCCCCAGGTCTACTCCCTCAGTTATCACTATTACTATTCAGTAATCACTGTCACCAATATCTTAGGAATCGTCCAAAGATAGGCAGTGCTCTTCACACAGGGAGATTATTTCGGATAGCAAGATAAATATGGGAAAATATTTATCACCTGACAGTCAGATTTCTCTTTTTCTGGATTTCATGGGAAAAGAAGTGAAGATAATCAGTTGAAAAATAGAATGGAAATTAAAGCCGTGAAATTAGAGGCTCTGAATGAGGAATTAGACTGTTCGCTGCGATAGATGACAAGACTCTCACCTATGGCGAAAGACCAAGAAGAGGAGGGATGAAGCGACAGAAGCCAGGCAGAGGCAGTGGCAGTATCTAGGATGAGAGTGGCAGCCGACAGGAGAAGGGAGGGCATTACATAGCAAAGGTGTGGACCTGTCCAGAAAGAAGGTCTCAGTAGAAGATGAGCAGGTAACAGAGAAAGGATGAAGCCCAGCCTGGCAGACACGGCTCACATGCAATGTGGAAGGAAACTGCAACCTTAAGGAAGGCCGCCATCTCCTTGGTTCATCCTACCTCATAGCTGCGCCTATCCGGGGAGGTCAGTTCAAAGCAGGATTCTCTCTTGGAATCTTTTCGCAGGTAGGGGGCCATCCGTACGCTGTAGCCCTCAATGAGAAAGATCCCTTTGGGCTGCTTGCCTGCAAGACACGAAAGCTCCTTGTACCCCTAGAGAGACGCAACTGCCAAGGGAAGGCATCTTCTCGGGTGTGTAAAATAAGAGCGCAGAAACAGCTGTCACATCCCCGAGGAACCACAAGAGCCAAGGAAAGGTTTTTAGGGAAGCCGAAGAAGAGGCTACCGCGACAGCAAGGCAGACATGGCCGCCAAGCTAGGGAAATGCTACGGGAAAGGTTATTTTGCCAAAGGAGTGCAACGGAGACAGAGAATTTATTAGAATGTGCAGAGATCTATAATAACAGAAAGAAGGAATTATTGCAGCAGGGAGAGCATGGCTATACACGTGAGGCTCCTGAAGGCTGTTATAGAAATGAAACATGATCATCGGGTCCAACAGAGCTCACATTTGAGGGGAGGGATGGCAGCGCAGGGGACATTGTAAGTTCCCGGGTCTCCTCCTATGCCCTACGCAGCCTGTGGACTAAACTGTCCTCTCCCTCCTCCTGGGCGGATGGGGGTTTATGCTAGACGCTAAGTAATTAAAACTCAGTATTTTATCCTCCTTCCAAGAGGTCAAGTTGAGAAATAGCAGAGTAATGTTGAGTATTATCAGATGTTGAGGAAGGAGATAAAAGGCAAAGGACTCTACGTGAAAGGAAGGAGACAGTACCCTGCCTGCCACTCCCTTAAAAAAAAAAAAATTAGAGCTGAAACTGGTTTGGCTCAGTGGATAGAGCGTCAGCCTGCAGACAGAAAGGTCCCAGGTTTGATTCTGGTCAAGGGCATGTACCCTGGTTGCGGGCACATCCCCGGGTGTGTGTGTGTGTGTGTGTGTGTGTGTGTGCAGGAGGCAGCTGATTGATGTATCTCTCTCATCGATGTTTCTAGTTCTCTATCCCTCTCCCTTCCTCTCTGTGAAAAATCAATAAAATATATTAAAAAAAATTAGATACAGGAAAGGAAGAAGTGGTTCCTAAGAATTCTGTGTCCTCATGGTGTGTTCAGGCAGAATGCATAGAGGACAGGCACTTCCATATATGGGTGATGCTTTGTGTTCTGTATCATGTGGAGTGACTTGCCTAATAAGGGCATTTTGATGATGATGATGATGATGAGGATGGCAGTGGACTGATAATTAAAAGTTTAAAAAGAAAAAGATTCTGTCCTTTCCGGTTGAGCTAAAAAAATAAATAAATACGCAAACACTCTGTATTTACTAAGGAAATGTCTTGGGCACAATAAGAAGTAACTGTAGAGAAGGGAGCCATGCAACAGTGCTTTCTGACACCAGAATCTTTTTTGTTAAAGTATCTCTCCTTGTTCTAACTGGCCACTAAAATGTTTTGTTGTTTCTTCGGTCACCGGGTTTTATTTCACCCTGACAGCAAAATGGTCAATAAAAGTCTCCTAGTCTCTCGCTCTTGTTCTCCCTCTCATCTTGAGTGTAAAGGATTCTGAATAGATGAACACGATCCTTGGTTTTCTATTCAGATGTGCCAACCGCTTATTTAAATGCAAAGGGAAACGATGAACATTTTTTTTTACAAAGACCTAAATGTTGAATTAGTTTGTAGATTTAAAATAAGCAAAACACACCTGGCTGGCTTGTAAGCCGAGAATTCAGGGGCGAAAGTGTGGTGGCTGGGTTTGGGAGTGGGCTGGAATGTGGGTAGGGGACTTGTTACTCAGTTTTTGAGGGATGCTGCTCTCATTGCTAAGCGGGGCTTCACTCTTTACTCCTAGGTGGAAGGGGTCTGAAAAACCCGAAGTAGTGAACCCAAGGTGAAGGTCAGTGATACTTGTAGGCAGAGAGGTGGGGTGAAACCATTGCCTCAAAGACCAAGGGTAAATCTTGAGAATTCCAAGTCCTTTAGCTGCAGTCCTTTCTGTTACCTTAGTGCCAAAGGTGCAGGAAGTTCAAAGGCAATGAGGGTAAAATCTGAATATTTCTCAGACTGTATATTCGGGCTTTGGGAGAGGAATAAGCCTGGGAAAGAAGGAGGAGTGGAGAAACAGAAAATGATCTGGAGGAAAAGAAAGAATTTATTCTGGACCAAGGCTACAGAGCAGAAGGAAATCCGACTTCTCCTCCCAAAAGAATGAATGTTTTGCTTTACGTAATCTCCCTTTTGTTCTGTGGAATTACTCCTGGGACAGCCTGACTCTGTGGAGGAGAGCCTATTTGAAAGTTTGCATTCACCTAAAGGGATAATTTTTTAGCTTGTGTAGATTTGTAGCTGCCTCCAAGTTGTGATTATATTTCCTATTCCTTCTCGTGAAAGAAGCAACTGCATTAAGCATGGACGGGAGTTCTAGGGGTGGCTTCGAGTGCTGTGCTTGATTGAGTCAGTGGTGGCTGACTAAGAAGCTACTCTGGCCTGAGTCAACACTTTGTGGTGGCTGCCATCTGCTTGAAGGGTGTCTTGGGCACAGTGACCATTTGGGGCTCAACACTCCATGGATTACTTCCCAGCAGTCAGTAGAATAAAGTTTGAAACATGTTCTTAGAGAGTTTGGACTTGAAGGTTCTATTTCTGGGCCATTGGCCAGCTGTTTAAATCTCTCTCAGAGTTAAATTTATTTTTAAAATTTAATTATATTATTAAGAGTTTGAGGTTCTTTTTTTTAAATGACAAAGTGTTCAACCTTGATGATGTTATTAGTCATAATAAAAGATAAACCTGCGACATGCTGACCACAATATCCTGCTGTTTATGGGGACATAAATTCTAAATTGGCATTTGAGTGTTTGGTGATAGGCAAGGTATTATTTACTCAGGCCTGTTTCTCTCCCAAGCAGGTCCCTTTATGGGTGTTAGTTAAAGATTGCTGTCTGGAGATCCGAGTGCTTGAGAATTTACGGAGTGTTTGCATCCAGGAGTGAGAAGCTGCTGTGCAAACGAGGAGCACTTACTTTTCTCATTAGCATAGTAGCAGAAGAGGCCTCTGCTGACAACACACCATCTCTTCTGCCACTCTGATCCAAAGAAACTGGGATCTAAATGGAACAGCAGTGAGGGACATAAATTCAGGTAACTACAATTGCCGAAGAGTCCTTAAAACCTAACCACACACAGCCCAGTGTACGATTGTTTTATTTCCCAGGTTAATGGACTGTAAAACCCTCCCTTTCACTCGCACAGGTTATCCCATATTGACTCAGGGTCCAGAGGACTTGCTCAGTCAGAGGTCCAAGTCCTAAACAGGCTTTGCCTGCTCTGACCCCTTCCAGCTGCCTGTCTTCCTTTATTTCAGCTTCAAATCTTTCCCTGTACTTCTCAAACTCTCCAGGATGTCTTCCTGTGCTGCCTTTGAGCAAACCAAAAGATTGCTCCAGGCCCTGGGCACAAGAAAGGCTTTCTCTGTATGAGGCCAATTTAAACTGGACGCTGGCCCTAGTAGTACCTGCTCTAATCAAACAAGTGATAGGCTGAGAGTTGGGTCCCTCTGACACTTAAAAGTGGCTGCTTCACATATGATATAAAAATTATGCTCTAGCCCAGCTGGTGTGGCTCAGTGGTTGAGCATTGACCTATGAATCAGGAGGTCATGGTTTGATTCCCTGTCAGGGCACATGTCTGTGTTTCGGGCTCGATCGCCAATGTGTGATGTGTAGGAGGCAACCCACCAATGATTCTCTCTCATCATTGATGTTTCTATCTCTCTCTCTCCCTTTCCCTCTCTTTTCCTCTCTGAAATCAATAAAAATATATATTAAAAATAATAAGGGGTAGGAAAGCCTGGGAAAGATCAATGGGGAAAAAAGGAGATATATGTACTACTATATGTAATACTTTAAACAATAAAAAAATTTATACTCCAGGCAACATAGTTTCATTCTTCATGGGAGTACATGGAGAAATGAGAACAAGAATAGCATTCAGGCCGAAACCGGTTTGGCTCAGTGGATAGAGCGTCGGCTTGGAGACTGAAGGGTCCCGGGTTCGATTCCGGTCAAGGGCATGTACCTTGGTTGCGGGCACATCCCCAGTAGGGGGTGTGCAGGAGGCAGCTGATCGATGACTCTCTCTCATCGATGTTTCTAGCTCTCTATCTCTCTCCCTTCCTCTCTGTACAAAATCAATAAAATATATTAAAAAAGAAAAAAGAAGAAAAAAAAAGAATAGCATTCAGTTGAAACCGGTTTGGCTCAGTGGATAGAGCGTCGGCCTGCAGGCTGAAAGGTCTCAGGTTCGATTCCAGTCAAGGGCATGTACTTTGGTTGCAGGCACATCCCCAGTAGAGGCTGTGCAAGAGGCAGCTGATCGATGACTCTCTCTCATCGATGTTTCTAACTCTCTATCCCTCTCTCTTCCTCTCTGTAAAAAAAAAATCAATAAAATATATATATAAAAAAAGAATAGCATTCATTGGTTCATTCAACAAGTATTTATTAAACATCTATTGCATACCAGGTGAGCAAGGTAGATCCAGTCCCCATCCTGATGAAGCTCACAGCCTGCTGAGGATTTGGGGCCATCTCTGTTTAGCCTACACACCAGACCTCTTTTCTCCCCTTCCTTTTGCCTCCCACCTACTTACCACAGTCCTGGCCTAGAGAGGACACCGCTGTGTCAGCCCTCTTTTCCCTCAGTTCCCTTCCCTTCCCGGAATGGTCTGAGACCCAGGGGTCTGATCATTACCTTTACTTTTCTTCTCCAAGTACCCTTGCTTGATGACGCTATCCAGCTCTTGAGCTCCTCTTGGGAAGTCCTCCATTCCTGAAAGGAACAACAGCACAATGCGTCATGGAAACCTGACAGAATTTTCAGTTGTTTAGGCTGCTTCCCATAGTGCACATTGATGAAGGGGTACAGAAGGACAACTGCTTACACACAGCACAAAAGAAAACGACGTCAAGATGATTAGGGAAAAAAGTAAATTTTCTTTCTTCCTAAGTATATCTAAGGCTAAGATCACTTAAAATGATCTAAACATATATTAGTTTGTTCAAGGGGAAGGTAGCCTAAATATGTATTGATTGACCAGCAAGGGACTCCAGAGAATGAAGAATATGCTGTGAATATAATCCACATTGAGATAACCAACAGTCAAATGAATAGCCTCCAGGACAGACAGCTTTAATGAGTGAGAGTTCACCATGAACACAGTTACCTCAGGAGCAATAAACACACATTATTATTATTATTATTTTTTAAAGCGAACAGCCACCTTAGAGAACATACATTTTATTAAGTTCACACAAAGAAGGGTTATGCAAGCGGAACTTGGCAATGACTGCCAAATCCTGGTTTTGTAACAGTATGGGAAGGAGTCTAAGAATGGTGGAAGCTCTTTTGAAGGGAAGATCCTGGGACTGACACCGGCCTTTAGTTGCATGCTGCTAACATTCTTGGCTTTCAACTAGCGTGGTTAGGTACAAATTTATTGAAAAGTCAAGATCCTAATCCATCTTCCACCATCGGAGTTTATACTTACTTTATAGAAGGGCGGGGCAAAGAACAGAGACCAAGAGGAAGATATTTACCCTCAAAAGATAAAATGAGCCCCCGATGGATGGCTCAGCTGTTGCAGGCACTTACCTAGGTTATCAGTTTGATCCCTGGTTGGGTGTGTACAAGAGGCAACTGATTGATGTTTCTCTCTTTCTCTATCCCTTCCTTCCTCTCTAAAACAATAAACATATCCTCGGGTGAGGATAAAAAAAAAAAAAAAAGAAAAGAAAGAAAGAAAAAGAACAAAACCCCCCAAAATTATGAGAAAGGGAGTGGGTTAGTGTAGTCCTAATATTTATTCTTTTAGTCCCTAAACCCAAATCTCTTTTCGTGTGCCTTAAAATATTTAGAAAGCAAACAAAGCACAAACCAAAATAAGGCACAGCCTATGCAATATCTTAAGACTGTTGGGTGGAAAACTTTTTTTCAATTACATGATTTTTAAAAACATCTTCCACAATAACTAACTTGTATCCAGTGATGGCTACTTTGCTCAGTGCTTTGCATACTTTTGTCTAAAAATAACATTTTACGACAACGTAAAATGTAACTAAAATCACCACTTGCTTCTAAGCTGTTCCAAGCTTAGTTTTAAACACATGGATCAGAAGAATTTCTCTCTTTTCCTTTTTAGTATGTCTAAATACCTGTTTGTCCATAAAGCCGACTTCCTTGTTCATGGACTGCTCGGATTTGTGTGTTTTACAGTTAACACTGCTACGAAGCCTCCGAGAGGAGTCTCAGGGTGCATACATGAGATGAACAGCAACCAAGGAGAGCTTGTTTGTCTAGGACACTTTCCTTTCTCCCACCTCTCTGAAAATTCCATTATCTCTGTGAAAATGCTTTCCAAGAAAACAGACAGGTCCTACTGAGATGGGTGAGGAGCAGCACGGCTGAGAAGGCCCTTGGAAGCAGAGCCCATCCTGTCTGCAGTGCAGTAAAAAAATTGCTCCCAGCCAAGACTGCTTTGGCTCAGTGGATAGAGTGTCAGCCTGTGACTGAAAGGTCCCAGGTTCAATTCGGGTCAAGGGCATGTACCTTGGTACATGCAGCTGATCTTGGAGGCAGCTGATCGATATTTCTCTCTCATCGATGTTTCTAACTCTCTATCCCTCTCTCTTCCTCTCTGTAAAAAAATCAATAAAATATATTTAAAAAATCGCTCCCAGAGGCCTAAAAATTAAATGATAAAACACAGGAGACAAGGAAAACAGGGTCCCCTAAGCTTGAAGTATACATCTCTTTTTCCCAGGGTTTCCCCCTACCTTTTTCTTTCCTTCTCCTAAGGTCTGGTTAAAACTTAAGAGACACAGCTACCTGTTAAAAGATGATGAGAGTCTGGATCATAAAAGACACGTTAAACGTCCTATTAGACTCCAAACCTCCTTTTAAAAATGCAAATCTAAATGCCATTTTATGGAACATCTATAATTATGAAAATGGGAAGACATTGCCTTGTGTGCAGGGAGAGTGAGTATGAATATTGCATTAATGTGCCCACACCAGCTCACTGATCCTGCTGGCAGGAGCATAAAAAATGCTTGAGTGAAACTTTTATTTAGATGTTAAGACTCCAGACCCCAGCGGGGTAACAGAGACGGTCCCCGTGAGTTGCCATCAGAGAGAGAGCTTGAATTGAATTACCCAGGGGGGAAGGAAGGAGCGATGAGCACTGCTTCGCTTATTTAATTTCATTTACTTTCAGTACATTATCAGCATGAGGCTCTTCTCTCCCACCAACTGAAACCCGAGAATGCCGCCTCCAAGAAAACAAAGAGATGAGGCAGCAGAGATGCTTGGACTTCAAGCCACCGATTCTGGGAGAGGAGAGACAGCACCGTCACCACCTTCTCCCCCCAGCGTCACACCTGGCGTTCTAAAATCGGGCACCCAAGGAGCTGCTGAATGTCCTTTCTCGGTCATTTACCAACAAGATTCTGGAGAGTAACAGAGCTGGAAACTGCAGGATTTTGTAAGATGTGTCAGGCTGCTTTCTCATTAGAGGGAATCTGTACTGGTGAACTCTCTTGCCTGGTTTCTCTTGTGGGAAGTGGGATGACAGGTGACGTTTGGAATGGTTATGGAAAAAAGTGAGGACATCATAAGACCAATCTCTATTCTTTTGATCATTTTCCATGGGCAGGGCCCTGTACAATGACAGAGTTGTTCTCCACATAAAGTGGACTGTGAGCTCTAGTGCATCAGCTCCATGACTTCTCAGATAAATCCAGACAACCACTGAGGCAATCAAACTGTCTCCTCTTTCCGTGTCAGTTGGGGTCCTACTGATGAGAACGGATTATCCTGAGGGTGCACACGTGAGCCACAGTCCTGGGGTGATGAGACAGGAGGCGTCTTGTACGTCCGAATTGACACCTACTGGCAAGTGAACCGATCTACAGAGTTACTTAATGCAGAATACAAGTACACAAATGACTTGCAGGAAGGTAATAAAAATAGGAAGAAGCCATAAACAATTGCTATTTTAAGGCAGAAACATTTTTATTTATATATGCAATTTTTAAAGAATTGAGTTGTTTTGTGTGTGTCCATTATCTAAAAAGAGATTAGAAATGATTTAGATTTATTGGGAATGAATGGCCCTCTTGGATAAACCTTAGGGTGTATCACATTATATCAGCACACAACAGAATTACATTAGTGTCATAATCTCTCTCTACCACTACTCTTAACTAAAGCTGTCAGAATAGCCTACAGGAAGAAAAGATTCACTTAGCTGAATGCTGTGGGGCCATAAAGATAAGATCAACAGAGAAGCGTGTTACCCAGAAGTGATGGCCACCCAACTTTCGTGGCAGAGAAAGAGAAAAGCAATTCTCAGACATCCTTCTATCCTCACCCAGATTCCTCGAAGCCCTGTATCCCACCCATCCCCAACTCCGCAATAAGGAAGCGACAGAGTAGGATTCCATCTCTCAGTGCTAAACGTGGCTTCTCAGTCAGCTACTCACGGCCACAACAATGGGGATCCTGTGGAGTGTGATACATTTCCATAAAACAGTCAATAAAAAAGACACGGGAGCTTATGTGAGTCACGGCCTATTTAACCAGCTGTGTTCTAGCCCACCGAGAGAAGAGAATTGGAGAAATCAGTTGGCGACACCGCAGCACCAGGCTGATAGTACAGGAGGCCACTCCGTTTCCACCGGGAGAAGGCTGCAGCACCTGCAGAACACACCAGGTGCTTGCGAACCTCAGTAGAGTTGGTTTGGGCTCTTGCTAACTCAACTGAAATAAAAATCAGTAATTAAAAAAAGAAAAGAAAAATGTTTTATTCAAGTCCCCACCTTAAATGATGGACGTCTCCCACCCTCCCCTTTCCTTTTAATTCAAGTTCTTCTCCATTGTTGGAAAAAGAGACCCAACTATCCCCATCCAGCCTGTAGACTGAGAGCTCCCGGGGGTGAGTTCTCACCATGGGGCCTTCATTCAGGGACCTAGGATAGAGGACCCGGGGAGCCGGGTGGATGAGGTTGGAGAAAATCTAATAGTTGAAGGCTGGGAACGGTCAAGTTCCATTTGCAATTCCACTTCACTTGCAGATCGCTGGTGTGTGTGCCCTGCAGACAAGTGGCGGACACACACTTCACAGTGTTTCAAAGGCACAAAAAGGGAAACAGGCAGGTGGGGTGTGTGGATAGAATTCTCCTGTTTGTGGACCCTAACTCTGTCCATGAAACCCTCTTCCGTGTGTTTCGTTTTGGTGACCTTCTTTAATAAGTTCATTACTGTTTTTCCTTAGCTTTTTGCATTTCTGGGTTACTTTGTGCCTTTTTCCTCATTTTTTTCAGGAATCAGTCAATACATGGCATCTTGAGGTGTCTGTCAAACAGTGTTCACCTGAGCTGGATGCTAACGGGAAGTTGGTTTCAGGGACTCTTCTGCCGTTAGTCCCGTGAGACAAGCTGGTAACAGTTCTTTCACATCCATGTTCCATTTGATATCCAGGTGCGTTTATATTTCTTACACTTTTCTGTCATTTTGCTTCACTTATTAAAGGAATTTAGACCAACACAAGTAAGGTGAAAAATTCTAAATCACTAATAATAGACTTAGGATCTAAAAATTTCAAAGATATAGAAACCACTCAGTTTTTACTTCCTGGAGAAATATATTGAATAGCAGATGAAAGGAAAGGAGCCAACAGAATGTGCTTCATCAAGTTCTTTGGCAAGCTGTGACATAAGAAGCTAGGAAACAAAACAAGTGCAATTGGAGCCAGACTGACTCAGAAAAGGCTG